TCTATATAAGGAAAAATGTTACATATAGACTTTGGCTTTATACTCGGAGAAGGTATATTTATATTTATTTTTATTTTTATTTATTTATTTATTATTTATTTGTTTATTTATTTATTTGTTTATTTATTTATTTCTCTATCTATTGATGTATCTATCGGTGTATCTATCTCTATATAAGGAAAAATGTTACATATAGATTTCGGGTTTATACTCGGAGAAGGTATATTTATTTTTATTTTTGTTTATTTATTTATTTGTTTATTTATTTATTTATTATTTATTTGTTTGTTTATTTAGTTTTTTTTCTATCTATCGATGTATCTATCGGTGTATCTATCTCTATATAAGGAAAAATGTTACATATAGACTTTGGCTTTATACTCGGAGAAGGTATATTTATATTTATTTATTTATTTATTTTTATTTATTTATTTATTTATATTTATTGTTTGTTTGTTTATTTGGTTATTTAGCTAATGCTACTACTACTACTGCTCCTGCTCCTGCTGTTGCTGCTGCTGCTGCTGCTGCTGCTGCTGCTGCTGCTGCTCGTGCTGCTACTACTACTACTACTACTACTACAACTACTACTACTGCTGCTGCTGCTGCTGCTGCTGCTGCTGCTGCTTGTCCTCCTCCTCCTCCTCCTGCTGCTGCTGCTGCTGCTACTACTACTACTACTACTCCTACTACTACTGCTGCTGCTGCTGCTGCTGCTGCTGCTGCTGCTGCTGGTGTGTACAGACCCGAAGCCTTTTGCTCCTCCGATGAAGATTTGTTACGAGATGGTGGAGGCGTTGGGGTGTATAGACTCTGCTGAGTTTTCTTATTTTATACATTTATGTTGTTTAGTGTTTAAATATATGCGGCTGCATGCGCATGCATTGTGTCTGCTGCTCGAGTGTATGGTCACCTCCACACTCAAAGATATCGTTAAAAATATCATACGCATCACAGACAAACAGCAGCAGCAGCAGCAGCAGCAGCAGCAGCAGCAGCAGATGCAGCAGATGCAGGTGCAGCAGGTAAAAGGTAATGGGGCATCATCTACACCGCCGGGAGATACTCCCACTCCTGCTGCTGCTGCAGCAGGGTACTGTCAAGGCTCAGATTATAACGGCGACGCTTCAACAGCAGCAGCAGCAGCAGCAACAGCAACAACAGCAGCAGCAACAGCAGCAACAGCAGCAGCAGCAGCAGCAGCATGGCAGCAGGGTGTATCGACGCCACCAGCTGAGACCCCTCCTTCAAGCCTCCCCAACAACAGCAGCAGCAGCAGCAACACCAGCAACAGCAGCAGCAGCAACACCAGCAGCAGCAGCAGCAGCAGCAGCAGCAGCAGCGGGCGTGTGGTTTGTGTTGCTGTTGAAAGATTAAAAAAAAGATTTCTGCTGCAGCTGACGGATGAAGCAGCAGAAGCAGAACTCGTTAATATCATCAGCAGCAGCGCGGGCTCGCTGCTGCCGGCTGTTGTTGATAGGCTACACGAATGGGCCTTATACTGGAAATAAATAAATAAATATATTTATTTTATTTATTTTTATTTATTTATTTAGTTTATTTCGTTTTTTATTTAGTTTATTTAGTTTATTTAGTTGTTTAGGTAGCAGCAGCAGCAGCAGCAGCAGCAGCAGCGCGGGCTCGCTGCTGCCGGCTGTTGTCGATAGGCTCCATGAGTGGGCTTTATACTGGAAATAAATAAATATATTTATTTATTTTATTTATTTTTATTTATTTTTATTTATTTTATTTAGTTTTTATTTAGTTTATTTAGTTGGTTAGGTTAATATCATCAGCAGCAGCGCGGGCTCGCTGCTGCCCGCTGTTGTTGATAGGCTACATGAGTGGGCCTTATACTGGAAATAAATAAATAAATAAATAAATAAATATATTTATTTTGTTTATTTATTTTTATTTTATTTATTTATTTATTTAGTTTTTATTTAGTTTATTTAGTTGTTTATTCAGTTTATTTATTTAGTTAGTTTTTTATTTATTTTATTTATTTATTGTATTTATTTATTTATTTATTGTTTTGTATTTGTTTTATTTATTTATTTAT